TTGGGGGCCTCCTGGGGCTCTCGTGGGGCTTCTTGCGAGCCTTTTGGAGATGTTGGGGGGCTCTTGGGGGCCTCTTTGAGCCTCCTGGGCGCCTTTTGGGGCCGAGGGTTTGATCCCGGATCCCCCTCTGGGCCCTCTCTTGGGGCCGTCCAGGGGCCCTCCTGGAGGCTCCTTGGGTCGTCTTGGGGCCCTCTTGGGCCGTCTTCAGGCCCTCTAATTAGGAGGCCTCTGGAGCCATCTTGGGGCGATCTTGGAGGCCTATTTGGGCCGTCTTGGAGCGTCGGGAAGTCGAAAAGGCGACAACGCCCAAATCTTTCAAAAGCCAAATGCAAATCTAGGAATTTTGCCTCTTGGGGTGCTCTTGGGAGCGCTCTGCTGGGAGACTTCTTGGGGCGTCTTGGAGTGGCGTCTCGGAACACTCTTGGACCCTCTTGGGGGCATCTTGGGGGCCTCTTGGGGGCCTCTTGGCCCTTCTTGGGGCTCTCTGGGGAGCCCCGAGGGCGGCGCCCAGGAGCATAACCATCTCTGACTATACCTTGCCCGAGATCGGCCAGGGTACTTATCGCCCTGCGACCCCCAGTGGATGCACGCGCGCGCGAATTCGAAATCTTCTACACCTGTTACCGGAGATCTTAGCACGCCTCTGGCCCGTTGGGCCGGTGAGTAATGAAAACCACACCCCTCCATCAGTAAAGCTGTTGCAAATTTCAGGCTGCAGGATCATAAATGCTGAGGAAGTGTTGGGCGAAACTCCCAGCCCACTCCACCGACGCGTCAGGGGGTGCGACAGGGAGGAGTTACTTGTAAGGAAAAGGCATTGACGAGGAGGAAGAGGAGTAGCAGGAGGAGAAGGGAGGAAAAGGCGGCGGTGAGGAGGCGAAGCAGGGAGGAAGCGAAGCAGGGAAGAGGATGAGGGAGCGCGGAGAAGGAGGAGCAGGCGGAGGTCGTCGTCGTCGTTGTTGTTGTCGTCCGCGTCGTCGCCTCCTCTACCGCCGACGCTCGGTGGTCTCAGTTAGGGCTCGGGGGTTAAGGGGCGGCGGCCGAGGGTATCCCACGTATCCGGGCGTCTATGTGGTAACAACAGTTCCCACGCATCCGAGGGTCAAATGCACAACGGCAGTTTGTGGTACACGAGGTGATAGTAAAAAGAGCGACAGGCATGGAGGGCCTTTCATGTGAGCGTAGCGAAGCTACACTGTCAGCGTTGCGATGCAGCGCTGACGGGACCCGCGATCCGGTGCTTTTCCATTATGTCGGCTGTCGGGGCTTTCGGGGCTTGAAGGCCTCAGGTCATGGCTCAGCGATCCGATTCGATGGGAGCGAGAGGGGAAGAACGGAGGTGGAGGGAGAGCCGCAGGGAAGAAGGAGTGTGAGGGAGTGTCCAAGTTAGCCAGGTCGAGCGAGTCAGAGGGCCCCGCCTATTCCCATCCTCCCTCTCGTAACAGACGAGTCAAGTGGAACGCGTTCCCACCCAGCGACCGGAAGGCGCTCGCGCGCGGCCCTGCTTCCGACGACTTGGCAAGGGAAAGCAATGCGGGCCGCGCAGGGGCGGGAGCGGCAAAACTTCTGATGAGCTCGGCAAAGACGAAGCATGTGACGTGCCGACACAGAATTGCCACTTTCACTCGCAAGTTGCGCGGCGCTTGGGTGGTGTCGTCATTTCGCCCGCTCTCGCGCGGCCCCGCAGCCGTTGTCGCAGAACGACATTTTCGTCTGCTTGCGCGTCGACGAAATGGCGAGCGAAACATGTGCGCCGCGCCCCAGCGGGAATTCAATTCTCCAGAACAATGAGCGCGGCGCCGAGGCAAGAGCGACATTTCGGCCTTTCGCGCGGGACATGCGCCCTGTCCCACTCCCGCCGCGCATTTTGCAACGTGGACGACACAATGTCATTGTCGATAGCAAACATGTCGACGTTGCGTTATGTCTGCCAGACAGGATGGGACATCCCAGATCAGGCGGCTTTGGGCCAGCTAGGTGGCAACGTAGGAGCACACGGTCAGGAACTGTGGCTTTGTGTCGCGCCGCCGGTTCTGGGTCACCACGCTTCGGCGCGACTCAGTAGTCACGTCGCGGTCCCCAGGCGTTAAGCTCTTGAGTTATTCGAAGGTTTTTGCTTCACGGAGCGGAGCGACGCGCTGTCTGCTTGCACGGCATATCGTGTCGCTGGGCCCGCCGCCGCGACACGCTGAACTACAATTGCCGACCCTATATTCGCAAGAAATGAGGATCTGGGGAGGCTAGGGGCGGCGCGGGGACGGAGGGAAGAGGAACGGATAGACCAGGTGAACGAGGAACGGCCAAGATGGACGAGTGGACGGGGAGGGAGGGAGTGTCTACAAAGGGGGGGAGGGCGGTGCAGGGCGAGGGAAGGATGGCAAGCTAAGTGCGCTCGCGTCATATCTGATGTCCTACCCCTCCCTCCAATCCAATACCTTAGCATTGCGGTGCTTTTCTCGAACTGCGGACGCGGGTCATAGCGGACCTGGGACTCCCAGAAAACCCTTACCGTGTTATGCATAATCGAATGAGGATCGCTGCGTGCATTGGAGGAGGAGGAGGAGGAGGAGGAGGAGGAGGAGGAGGAGGAGGAGGAGGAGGAGGAGGAGGTGGCGGATGAGCGGGATGATGAGAAGACAGACGCGAACAGCAGCAACAGGAGCTGGAGTGGAAGGAGCGGGAGGACCAGGAACCCGTTTCTTTATTGCTTGGGGCATGACAGGCGTCATGGCCCCCGCCCCCCCCCCATGACGTAACGCTCCCCCCCCCAGTGCGCTCTGGGCACGGCCGCCGTGCGTATTGGGATCCGCGTAGGTGTCCGCGTAGGAATCCGCATAAGAGTCTGGTCCGCAGTCGTCGTCGTCGACGTCGTCGTCGTCATCGTCGTCGTCGTCGTCGTCGTCGTCGCTCGTGGCTCGTGGCTCGTCGCTCGTCGCTCGTCGCTCATCGTCGTCGTCGTGCGCGGGGACGCGGCTGGAGCCTTTTTTTTTTTTTTTTTTCTTTTTCCAATTCCGGGCCGATGACGGCAATCATCTGGGGGGGTGGAGGGGGTCGATGACGTCACGCTTCGCGCTGGCGGCGCCTGAGAATGCTTAGGAATGATGGAGGACGGGTGGCACCAGCATGTAGGTGGCGATCTGCACCACAACGCCTGTGTACACCTCAGTGCCTGCGTGCACCACTGCGCTTGTGTACTGTGTACACCACACCGCCTATGTATACCACAGCAGCCGCGTGCAACACAGTGTCAGTTTGTGCCACCGTGCGCGCGGGCGCAACAGCTCTGGTGTACACCACAGCTCCTGCGTACACCACATCAGCCGCGTGCAACACAACAGTGTACACCACAATGCCTGCGTGCATTGCAGTGCCTGTGTGCACCACGGCGCTTGTGTGCACCACAGTAACCGTGTGCAACACAGCACCACTGTTGCATGTAGAATGTTTGAAGGAATCATTCTGACAAAATGGAGCGTTTGTGGATTCCACCGGAAACACCAGAAATTAATCCTTATGGACAAGGGGACGCCAAGGGAATCTACGGGTCTTTCCGAGTTCGCCCGCACCACCGTAACTCCTCCCATCTGTTTCCACGAGGCTCCAGCTAAATTGGCCGTCCGAGAACCAAGTGGGCCGATTCGATAGAACATTCTGCGGTGCACGCTGAATTGCGCACGTGTGCTGCAGCGCCAACCCGCACGACACGGGGTAAGGAGGAGGAGGAGGAGTAGGAGGAGGAGGAGGAGGAGGAGGAGGAGGAGGAGGAGGAGGAGGAGGAGGAGGAGGAGGGGGAGGAGGGGAAAAGAAAAAGGAGGAGGAGGAGGGGGAGGAGGAAGAGGAGGAGGAGGAGGAGGAGGAGGAGGTGGAAGTGGAGAAGAAGGGAAGAAGGAAAAACGTCGCATCCGATTATCAGCACTTTCCTGGCGTGGCGCTTCCGCAGCAGATCCTCACGTACAGGCAGTGTGGTGTACACTAGCGCTGCGTTGCACGCGGATGCTGTGGTGTAGACAGGCGCTGTGGCGTGCACAGGCGCCGCGGTGCACGCAAGCATTGTGGTGTACACAGGCGCTTCGTTGCACATGGTTGCTTCCGGTGTGCACATGTACACCGGCGCTGGTAATGTACGCAAGCACTGCAGTGTACACAGGCGCTGCGTTGCACACGGTTGTTGCGATGTACGCAGGTGTTGTGGTGTACGCGCGCGCTATGGTGCACGCGAGCGTTGTGGTGTACACAGGCGCAGGGGGGCAGATCGCCACCTACATGCTGCTCGCGTCGTCGTCGTCGTCGTCGTCGTCGTCGTCGTCGTCGTCGTCGTCGCTTGTCGCTCGTCGCGTCGTGCGCGCGGGCGCGGCTGCGGTGCCGGAGCCACACGGCGGGGGGGGGGGGGGCGTTACGTCATACCCCCCCCCCGCCCCCCCCCCCCCCCCCCATGACGCCCGTCATCGCCGAGCATGAAGAAACGCGCTCCAGAAGGACCAGGGGAAGGCAGAGGAGGGGAAAGGAGGAGCGCGACAACGATGAATAAGGACCCGGATCCAGTAAAGTGGCCCGCGTTGAGGCGAGAGTGCCATTCTGAACGACGGGGGCAAGGCGCCGATCCGAAACTGAGACCCACGCTGCAGCGGGAACACCAATTTGAAAGCAACGTTGAACTCCGACGTAATCGGTTTGGAAAGCGTCGTAAGAAACATCAGCTGTTGAGATCTGGTGTGTGCAAAAAAGTACGCGCAGAGGGCGGGACATCTTCCAGACAGAGTTAGGGGAGAGGGGGTCAGTATTCATAATGTGTAATTGTGGAAGGATGGAGGGGGGGATGGGGAGGGAAGGGGATGGGTGGGTGCCACCTTTCGAGATCATGAAGAGCGGCGTGGTCGACCTGATCCTCGACTGGGCGCGGGCGAAGCAGAAGGTGGACCTCGGCCGCCAGCTGAAGGGCGGCACGAAGAACATGACCCGCGTCCTGGGGGTCCCGAAGCTGGAGGACGCGAACGACGCTGGTACGGGGGAGCCTCGTGCGAAGCGCTCGCGCGCACGCAAACGACGCTGGCCCCCCGACACCATAAATGTTCAACGACGTGGACCCCAGAGGTCTCAACCATTTTCTCAGGGCCTCGTCACCCCGAGAAGTGTCTGTCTTGGCTGTCCCAGAGCCTGGCGTGGGGCCACAGAATCCGAAATGGCAGAAACTGTGCGTCGTGATCTTTTCGTGACCTGGGGGCTTGGGACCGGGCTCAGGGGCGGCCTGACCGCCCCCTGGCAAACCATCTCCTTCCGCGACGTCCCCCTCGCCTCGCCCCAAGACGTATGTATGCGACTGGAGGGGAGCTCGAAAAGCGAGGATGACGTCACGGAAGGGGATGGTTTGCAAGGGATCGGTTGGACCGCGCCCGATGGAGAGCCAAAGGTCAGCCGCAGGGCCTCCTGCCTACTCCCCGCAGGCCCCTCGAAGACCTTGCGGATGCCCCCGCGGGGACCTCCGCCAGATGCCTCCAGGGAGGCCTCCGCGCCGCAGACCTCTTGGAGGCCACGCCGAGTTGGAGCTGGCGTGGGGTCTGAGGTGGCCCGTTGGTGTTGAATGTTAGTTACTAAACAATTAACCCCATGCCCACGATAATAATGTACCCCCCCCTTAAGTCGTTAGAGTTTTTTATCGTCGACCAATCAGAGTTTGGTCGGGGGCGCGGGGCGCGGAGGCCAAACTTCATTATCACCTCGGAACGTTATGTTGAGATAGCAAGATCAAGTTACGTTGAAATAGCAACATCAAGCGAAGCGATCACTTTTTTCAGGATGTCTCAAGCGAAACCAATAATTTTGGGAGGCTGGCTCAAAACGAAACGAGCAATGTTTCAAGGATGTCTCAAGCGAAACCAGTAATTCTGTGAGGATGTCTCAAGCGATTCGAGAAGCTTGTCGAGGATGTCTCAAGCGAGAAGAGCATATACTCGAGGATGTCTCGAGCGATTCGAGAAGCTTGTCGAGGATGTCTCAAGCGAAACAAGCATATACTCGAGGATGTCTCAAGCGAAACAAGCATATACTGAAGGATGTCTCAAGCGAAACGATACGTTTCTTAAGGATGTCTCAAGCGAAAACAACAATTCTGTGAGGATGTCTCAAGCGAAACCAAGAATTTTGGGAGGCAGGCTCAAACGAAACGAGCAATGTTTCAAGGATGTCTCAAGCGAAACCAGCAATTCTGCGAGGATGTCTCAAGCGATTCGAGAAGCTTGTCGAGGATGTCTCAAGCGAAACAAGCATATACTCGAGGATTGCTCTTTTTCTTCCCCTTCTCTTCTCCTTCTTTTTTCTTAATTTATATTTTTAGTTATTTATATATTTCTTTCTTTCTTTCTTTTTTTTCCTCTCTCGCCCCATGCCTCCCCTGAACTTGTTTATCCCTGGTGTTGATTATCCATGGCAAGTGAGGCACATGAGCTACCCTACACGAGCACTCAAACAAATCAATTTTCAGAAAGCGTTTGTACATTAAATCTAATAGATTTGGAACTTGAAACTTTCGCTCTTTTTCTTCATCTTCTCTTCTCCTTCTTTTTTCTTAATTTATATTCTTATTTCTTTATATATTTCTTTATTTCATTCTTTTTTTCCTCTCTCTCCCCATGCCCCCCGGAACTTGTTTATCCCTGGGGTTGATTATCCACGGAAAGTGAGGCACATGAGCTACCCTACACGAGCACTTAAAAATTTTAATTTTCATAAAGCGTTTGTATATACAAATCTAATACATTTGAATCTTCAGATCTTTTGTTTTATCCTCCTTTCCTCTCCTCTTCTACTTCTCCTCCTCATTTCTTCTTGTCTTTTTCCTTTTTAAATATTTCTTTTATGTATTTCCCTCAACTTTCTCTTTGTTTTCTTTATTTCTCTCTTTATATCTTTCTCTCTCCCCATGCGCCCCTGAACTTGTTTATCCCTGGGGTTGATTATTCACGGAAAGTGAGGCACATGAGCTCCTACACGAGCACTTAAAACAACAATTTTCATAAAGCGTTTATAAATAAAATATAACAGATTTGGGACTTGACATTTTTGCTTTTCCTCTTCCTCTCCTCTTCTACTTCTACTCTTGAATTTTTCTTCTCCTCTTCATTTTCATTATTTCTTCTCTCTCTCTCTTTCTATCTCTCTGTCTCTCTCCCCCCCATGCCCCCCTGAACTTGTTTATCCCTGGGGTTGATTATCCATGGAAAATCTGATAGGTTTTTTTTTATTATTATTTCCTCTCTGTCTTTTTTCTCTCTCTGTTTCTCTATCTCTCTCTCCTCTTGCTCCTCTCCTGTCTTCTCCTTTCCTCTCCTCCTCTCCTTCCTCTCTTGCTTTTCATTATCTCCTCTTCTTCTCTCTCTCTCTCTCTCTCTCTCTTTCTCAATTTTCATAAAGCGTTTCTAAATAAAATCTGATGGATTTGAAACTTGAAATTTTTGCTTTTCCTCCTCCTCCTCTATCTGTCTTTCTTTTTATATATCTTCTCTTCTTATTAGTCTTCTTATTATTCTTCTTCTTTACTATAAGATTTTTTATTAGAAACAAAATCTGCGAAATGTGTTATATCTTTCTTATTCTAAAAAATATATTTCTTTTTATCTTTTTTTTTTCCTTTTCTCTCTCTCTCTCTCTCTCCAGCACAACCCTCCAGCACAACCCTCCAGCACAACCCTCCAGCACAACCCTCCAGCACAACCCTCCAGCACAACCCTCCAGCACAACCCTCCAGCACAACCCTCCAGCACAACCCTCCAGCACAACCCTCCAGCACAACCCTGCAGCACAACCCCTCAGCACAACCTCTTGAGGTTTATTATCGTCGGCAGTTTTTTATCATCGGCAGTGGTCGATAGCAACTCCTGAGCTCTCCGGGAACGCGGCGGCACGCGAATGATACGCATGTTTTTGAAACACTTCATTTGGACAAAATATAGTTTATTTAGTTGCGAATTCCATTGACATCTTTTCGAATTTGCGAAATCGAGCCGTCAGGCGCTTGAATGCCGCACTGCGTTCGAGATTTAGGCGAAAGCGTGTGCGACGCAATTTTCTCATGACGCGCATTTTTTTTGAAAAACCTTATTTTGACAAAAAATAATTTATTTGGTTGCGAATTCCATTGAAATCCTTTCGAAATTGCGAATTCGAACCCGCACGCGCGTGAATGCCACACTGCGTTCGATATTCGGGCAAAAGCGCGTGCGACGCAAATTTCTCATAAATGCGTCGCGTGCTTAAATCTCGAAAGCAATGTGGCCTTCAAGCGCCTGACGGCTCGATTTCGCAATTTTGAAAGGATTACAATGGAATTCGCAATTTAAACAAGTTTTTTTTTTTGTTTTTTTTTTTTTTTGTTTTCAAAACATGCGTATCATTTGCGTGCCGCCGTCTTCCGGGAGAGCTCAGGAGTTGCGATTGACCGCTGCCGATGATAAAAAATTGCCGACGATAAGAAACCTCAGCCGATGATTAAAAAACTGCCGACGATAATAAACCTCAGAGGAGCGCACGGCGGGAGAGAGAGAGAGAGTCTCACCTCTCTCTCTCTCTCTCCCTCCCTCTCTCCTCTTTCTCTCACTATCTCTCTCTGCTCAAGGTGAGCTGCTGAAACAGAGCTGCTCAAGCAGATGGCTGCTCAGAGAGCAGAACCAGACAATGAGACCTTCGAGGATCAAAAACACAATTCTCTCGAGGATGTCTCAAGCGAAATAAGCAATAGTTTGACGGTGTCTCAAGCGAAATAAGCAATAGTTTCAGGATGTCTCAAGCGAAATACGCAATAGTTTCAGGATGTTCAGGCGAAATCAGCAATAGTTTGATGATGTTTCAAGCGAAAACACAATTATTTCTAGGATGTCTCAAGCGAAATAAGCAATAGTTTGACGGTGTCTCAAGCGAAATAAGCAATCGTTTGTGGATGTCTCAAGCGAAACAAGGGATTTGTCGAGGATGTCTCCAGCGAGATAAGCCATTGTTGAGGATATTTTAATGAAGACTAAACGCCAAGGATGTCTCAAAACGTGCTCGGTTTGGTCTCCTATTGATCATCTCTTACTTCGAGATTATGCTGAGGTCTGGTGGGCTACTTTGATTATCTCCCCCTGAACCCCGAACTTTATTATCCCCTAGTGTTCATTATCGTGAGCATGGGGTTAGTATTGTCGGACCCCCCCCTTTTCATTGAAAATGAGGCTCACGCTCGAGCGGTTTTTGGGGCGCCCAAACGGGCCCCCCAACAACAACAACAACAACGCTCCCGCTCGAGACTTCATCCTTTTTCACTCAGGGCCGGTGCTTTTGCTCGCCGCCGAAAGCCGCCGTCCCAACAAAACCAGCGCTACCGCCCGAGACTTCCTCCCGCTTTACCTTGGACTGGCGTGCTACTCTTTCTCTCATCGGCGCCGCCCCCAGCAAGAACAACGCTCCCGCTCGAGACTTCCTCTCTTCTTTACTCAAAGCGGTGCTCCTCCTCGCCGCCGAAAGCCGCCGTCCCGACAAAACCAGCGCTCCCGCCCGAGACGTCCTCCCGTTTTACGCTGGACTGGCGCCCTACTCTTTTTTGAATTGGCGCCGCTCCCAGCAGCAAGAACAACGCTCCCGCTCGAGACTTCCTTTTTTTCTCAAGGCGGTGCTCCTCCTCGCCGCCGAAAACCGCCGCTCCCAGCAAGAACAACGCTCCCGCTCGAGGCTTCCTCCCTTTTTCCTCAGGACGGTGCTCTTCCTCGCCGCCGACAGCCCCTGTCCCGACAAAACCACGGCTCCCGCTCCAGACTTCTTCCCTTCTTACTCAAGGCGGTGTTCCTCCTCGCCGCCGACAACCGCCGTCCCAGCTCGAGACTTCGTTTTGTTTTACGCTGGACTGGCGCCCTACTCTCTTCAGCATTTGCGCCGCTCCCAGCAACAACAGCGGCCCTGCTCGAGACTTCCTCCCTTTCTATTCAGGGCCAGGTCCTTGCCTCGCCGCCGACAGCCCCCATCTCCACCAAGG